GTTTAAAAAATAAATTCATCCGCAACATCAATCTCTCGACTTTAGTTCTTCTTCCCAAGAGCAATCCCTTCCTACGAAACGTTCGTTCTCCCGTCATTTATGATTCTCTTACGTTCTCTCTCACCCCCTTTCCAGCCCGTTTCACGGCCAATTCGGTTTATGATTTTCTTTGACAGGCTCGATGATAAATAAATTTATCTACGAAATCAAATTTCTTCTCACTCAAAGAGATCCTCCGGCGTTTATATCTCGTACCGAGTTACCCCTCTCCGTGCGGTCCTCTCCTTCTTTATACACTATTCAGACATAAACGCTTCGGATCTCGGCTATTACAGATCATACACGAGCGAGCGTTCGCATCGTACATATTTATGATATAAAAGTTCGCGTAATCCCTCGATGACGTTTCAAAGCCGAAATATCCCGTGTCTCGATGCGTGTGTTCAGAGAACGGCGATGTACCTTCGCCTCTTTACGAAACGGAAGGGCCACTCAGACGAGAAACAAAACGCAGAAATTTTCAGAACAAGATCCAAGCTCCGTTTTAAATTCCACGCTGATCCTCTTCTCCGACGATTCATACGATCTCTCCTTTCTTTTCCCTCCTCCGATCCTCGTTTCGCAATCCTCTCTCATCGCTTTCATTCGTCTTGGTGCACACGCCTTTGCCGGATCCTCTTCTCTTTCAGAGATATAAACGTTGTCAGATCCTGTCTATTTATTGCGTTGCAAACATCAGGTCCGTCATCCTCCTTGGCCCAGCGCGAACACACCCCCCCGTTCTCGGTCTCTCTTTTCCCGAGGACGGAGATACTTGCCTCTTAATCCTTTTCTCCGCATCCTCTCCTCCGCGTTTCCCTTTTTACCTTTTATCTCCGTTCTCCGCGCTCTTCGTTTCCAGAAGGGTACAATGCGCGTTCCATTTCTGTATGCATTATTCAGGGTATACACAGTGGAACAGTTCGCGAGGGGCTAACTGGCGCAGCACCGGAAGCTAGGCAAACGAGTCCTCGGGATACACCGATTCTCCTATCCGTCTTCGCGAAGCTCGGAGAGGAGCTTACACAGAAATTATCGTCGTCGTCGTCGTCGTCGTCGTCGTCGTCGTCGTCGTCGTCGTCGTGTACCGACGGGAACGTTTTCAGGGATCGATTCGGTGTCTACTCGTCGAACTCGATAAGGGCGGCGTGATTGGAATACGTGGCGTCGCGGTCCGCAGATTTATTCCGGCTCTCGAGATGCCTACTCTAGGCGTTTCGCCTCCGTCGAAAGACACTCTTTCATCCGTATCATGGAAGAGCGCGAGGGGCGGCATTGTGGCGTGTAGGTGCCGGTGTTCGACATGCGTGTCGTGTTCCCCGGTCGTCACGTTTTTTTCTTTCTCGTCTTCCTTCACGCGGGATTCTGTCTGGAATACCTACGTAAGAGGATATGCCGTCGTCTCGTTTGCCAGGCATACGCTCGAACCCACGTAATATTCTCTCGTTGCACCCGAGACGAGACGTATTGGAAGCAGATACGTCTTCATCGACGCGTTAATTGCCGGAGGTTTCTTTTTGAAACGTATCGAGTTTCACACCGCCTTAACGCCTATAACATCGTATAAGTCTCTTTACTCTAGGCACTTCACGTGTCCTTACTCTCCCCCCGTTTACGTACAGTCAGAGGACGAAGAACGATAGACGGAGGGAACGGTTAAATAGTTTTCCCTTCTGTGGAAGATCGTTAACAGAGTTTCAGGTATTGACAGAGGAACGGGGGTGGGGCCACTCGATTACACGGACCGTTTATAATCCGATACGCGGAGAATGATCGGTCGGAATCGAGCACGAAGGCTATCGAAAATCTCGTTTTACTAGAACAGCTTTTGGTCGGATCCTCAGAAGGTCGCAAGGATTTCAGGAGCAGGACAGGCCCCAGTATCTCGGACCCGATGGCCCCGAAAACCGGTTCCGTCTGGATTTCACGTGACACGCGTTTCTCCTTTTTCGGGGATCCAAAGGAACAGGCCTCTCGCGAATGCATAAACTGTATTGCATTACGATTACGGGCACCATTATCGTTCGTGTCGTAAACAGCAATTATAACCGCCCCACGGAGACGTATTTAATCCGACTTGCTGCGGTCCATAAATACTCGACGATATTCCAAGCAATAGAAGAGGACACGACGTTCCGTGTTAAATTTTACAATTGCCAGGAGCTGGTCACGTTCTCCGACTAACAGTTTTTTCGAAATTCTTTCCACTGGTCGCATCGACCGGAAGCTGTGAATGTTCACGAGTCGACCCGACCCTCTTTTAATTTCTGCACGACTGCGTTCAGGATTGATAAAAATTCAACGTCACACGCAGGGCGCGAGCGTGTTAACGCACCGAAAGAAGGAGCGGACGGTTAATAACGAAATTTATAAATTCACGGGTGGACGCCGTCACTGCGCTCGTTTCGCTCCCCTCGAAAGAGCTTCCAGCGCGTCTCTCGCCGCGTGCACATCGCCGACGAAACGTGGGGGCGAATCATTCAAGGTCACGGCTGGTATCGCCCAAGGTCTAGATCGACCCGAGTCAGTCGAGTCGATGAGCCGGGGTCGACGCCCGGATTACTCAAGGTCAACGGCCATCTAGCTCGGGTCAATGGCCTTCAGTCTCAAGGCCAACGTCCGGAGGATACGCGCAAGGGCGAGATACGATTCCCTCCCCTTCGGCTTCGTTACCAACAGAATCGAGGAGAGGTTCGATAATTACAACAGGGTAATTAGCAGAGCAGCGAATTGGGCGTGCCGAATCCTGAAGGCTTTCGGGCGAGCGTTGACGCGAAGAAAAAGGTGGAACGCGAACGGATGACAAAGGAGTCGAACGAAGGGGAAGATCACGGCGGCCGAGGTGACGCGACGGAAAAGTTCGGGAAGAAGTCGGAAGGCGCGGAGGTTCCAGACGTCGGGAAGAAACGCGGCAAGATCGCGAGAGAAGAAACGGTGCCGCGGCGTGAGAAGAGAGAAGCGCGAGGCCTAGAAAGACGTAAGAGAGAAGCGGCGGTGGCGGCGGCGGTGGCAGTGGTAGGAGGCGTCGGAGAAGGAGGAGGAAATAATAACGACCCCGACGTCGCAGTGCCGCAGAAAGGTTGACGACCCGATGCCAGGCGACGCCCTCTTTCCCCTTGCCGTTCCGCCATCCCTTCTCCGGCGTCCTCTGCAACCACCATCCCTCTTGCGCCAGCCACCACCGCCGTCGGCGTCCCCCACTTCTAAATCGACCACCCTCTAAACCACCCGCCCGGTACTGCACACCGTAAGCGCATAGCGTACGTACGCCAGCGTCAACCGCACCCCCGTCCCGTCATCCCTCTCCGGCTACGTCGGCCGCCAACACTATCACACCCTACGGCCGTCTGGCCAGGGTCGGGGTCATTGAACGTCTATAAAGATTTTGACTCCGCGTTACCGCTGCCGCTGCTGTGCCGCCGCTGCGGATGCAGGAAGCGGCGAGCCGCGGACTAGGTACGCCCTTCTGTAAGGTGTGTGTAACGCAATCTGTTGCCTGGTAAGGACACACTCCAGGTTTTGTCGTAACCCGAGCGGAACGATCGATACGGGAATCATCGCGCCATCGGTGTTCCCGTGATAGGCGGGGGGTCAACGATTTCGGGGTGACGAATTGGGTTCCCGGAATTTCAAGAATCCAGGCGAACGAACCGATTTTTCAGGTGGAATTCGAGTTCGTCTGAGACCTGGCAGAGAGAGAGAGAGAGGAAGAAACATCCTGTCGTATTTCGCATTTCCTCGAGAGAGCGAGAGGATCAGATTATTTTCAGCATGAACAACGAGATCCTCGGAGGGAAGGAGAAAAGGAACAGCGAACGTTTGCTCGGGGCTGTCGGAAATTTTCGTCGCCCTCCTTCGGTTTTTGCGAAGGGGTGGCTGCCGCGTCTTCCCAGGGTCAGAGGTCGTTGAACGTCGGTAAAGATTTCGACTCTGGCGATGCTGTTCCAGAGTAAATAGGCGTGCGTAGCGTTTCGCGCTCTCTTTCCCACCGACGTTCCGACCCGAGCGCACGGACCGGGAACGCTCGGGCGACGAGGGGTCATAGGTACGAGACACCCTCTCTGCGATACACCACCCTCGTTCGAGTAATCCACGCAACGCGGATGCCATTACGGGCCTAGTAAACCACAAAATAGAAACGAAAGTCGTACCTCCCCCTTCGAATATGAATTCCCGCTATCTTTTTATCCGCTTTCGACTTAAAAACCTACATTTGCATTATCGAATCATTCTTCCGTCCTCAAAAATTCGCCGTCATAATTAGACGGAACCAGAGGATGACGCGGTGTGTCACACATTTTAGAGTATCAGTGACGATGAAAAAAATATATATAGTTAGAAAGACGAGACGTAGCGTCACTTTTTAACAGGCTAAACGATTTTAATATTAACCGCGAGGGTCGTACGGTAGAGACGCCTATCACGTAAACGTGGTCCCCGTTTACGCAAGTGCTAACAGACACAACTACGCGAGACACGATCGTTCACGCACAGTCGCGCACGTACAAGCACGTGCTTCGCATTAATATCGCCGTTTGCGAGTTGTCGCAACGAGACACCCGCCAATAAGAAACGGCTAAAGGACCTTTAATTTTACGCCTCGCTTGATTTTATTTCTTAACGACATATCAAATGAAACCGGCAAACGTCTGCATGCCCACCAGCTTCTTCTTCTTGTTCTTCTTCTTCTCCTTCGCTGATTTTATATTCGAATTTATTTTCCACTGTGCTCGCGAAATTCGCACGGGAAAATGATATCTCGACCGATAAACGATTTGTGAACGTGTTTGCAGGGGATATCTCATAATTCGCATTATAATTTAATACGCATTGCGCCAGACCGTTCAATTATCGAATTCGCGATGATACTACGTATTTGTTTACCGCTAACGTTCGCGTTAAAAATATATGCATTTGATAACGAGCTGCTGTCGTTTAAACATGTATAATGAGAGACTCACCTTGCTGAAGTATCCGACGGTATGGCAGCCCTCGGAGTCGCCGATCGTCATCACGTAGAAGAGGAACGGCTCCACGTCGTAGTACAGCGTCTTGTGGTCCAAGAAGAACTTGGCCAGTAAGCAGAGATTCTGACAGTACTGCTTGTAGCGTTTCCCGTCCACTTCCCAAACTCCGATCTTGTCCTTCCTGTACACCTCGTGTCCGGGCGGATGTCTCCACAGACACTTCTCTCGGTGCCTCCTCAGAACTTGCCGACTCTTCGCGTACCGCAAACAGTACTCGCACAGATAAAGTTTCGGAGCGCGACTGAACTCCTCCGGATAAGGACTTTGATACCAGACTTCCATTTCCCATTTACCCATTTCGATCACTCGCGTACCGCCAGCGTTTCTTCCTTCGCCGTCGTAGTCCAATTCTTTCAATTCCTTTTCCTGTGACAAAGGAGACGATCAAAAACACCTGCGAACGCCTGGTGGTACGTGAAGTAGGACGTATGCTTACGATCTTTTCGCTGGCGATCGCCTGTGCCTCCATGAACAGCCTCAAATCGTATTCCGGCGTGAGATTCGTTAATCTCGGTTGCCGGTCCTTCTCGTTCCCTTGAAGCTCGCTACTGCTGTCGCTTTCGTTTCCATCACCAGCACCGCCTTTCCATTTGCTTCTCATTTCTCTCACTTTCAGCTGATGATTGCGTTGTTCGGTCGTTTGATGGACGCCTTTCGGGGACTTCTTCGCCAGGCATGCTATCGCTTTTTTCCGTTCTTCTTCGCGCTTTTTTCTCTCTTTATAAAATTCACTGGCAATACAGGAACAAAGATGTACATAGACATATTTCTTTGATACGTTCGCAAGTTACGTCGTAGGAGTCAACTTACACACAGGCTTGCGGCGTGGTGTTGTGATACACGGGACAAGCCTCGAGAGTGAAATGCGAATCGAGCTTTCCGGACAGATGTCCCCGAGAATCGCACGTCGGCGCCAAAGGACATTCTCGTTCCTTGGTCACCCGCGTGCGAGCGTAATTGCCTTGTCCCGATCTTCCGGTGACGGTGGCAGTGTTCGACGTACCACTGGTGGTCGGAGGTACCCTGCTGGTTCCCGGCGGCGCGTGTCTGGCGGCGGTGCTGGGCCCGGCACGTTTAACCGGCGATTTGCTGGTACTCCTCTTGCTCTCAGCTACTCTCGATAAATCACACCGGATCAGCGGAATTTGCAGGATACGTTTACACGCTACCGTTTCCGTACCTGAGAACCATACTGCCGCCGTAAGCAAAAAGACTGTATCTGCATCTTAGGACACCTTGGACATGCTTTTTTGTATACGAAAACGTTTGTCCCATCGACCAGCGGATTCCTACGGCCCATATATATTATATATGTCCAATCCATATCCATCCAGAACAGCAAATACTGCTTTTTTGTGTTAAGGAGGCAGCATAGGGCCCTAAATCCACCGCCTGTAGAAAATTTTCTACCCGCCTCGTATCAAGATAACACACATGCCAAAAACTTTCGACCTCAAACTCGAATAAACTGATCGACATTTACTACGTAAGAACGGTGGTGGTTGTTACGTTAGCCTAATATACATTAAGACCGACGATGCAGTGGAACGTCAACAGGATGAGTGTACGAGAACGAAAACATACCAAAACGAAGTCACTCCAAAACAATGAACACGCAAAAAAAACTTTCAACGGACTTACAAACAGTATTACGTCAGACGTAAGATCAACTTAAGTGGGAATCGAGGACATCCGAGGACTATGGGAGGGATTTAACGTTAGTGCATTCGATAATACTCTAATATCGCACCTGTATCGGATTCCGAGTCGCTGGCCGCCTTCGCTTGAAACTGAAGCAATTTGCTGCCTTTCCTCGTTTGCAGCTTTCGTTTACCTTTAGTCGTTGTTTTCGCCTTTCCCCCTTCCCCGGGCTCGTCCATTTCCTTTTCGCTAGCTGACGCGTCGGCCTCATCTTCGCTCTTTACCGTACCTGAATTCGGATCGACGTTGAATATAAATTTCTTTCTTAATTTACGAAAAACAAGTTATCTTACTCACTTTGTCGTTTCGTACACTTCTGTGGTTTCACGGGAGCGACTGTTGCAGACGGTCGTTTTGGTGGAGCAGTCGCACCAGCAGTTATGGTCGAACTGGGCTGAACGTCCTTTTTCTTTATCTGAGGCTGTGGGCTCGCAGCGCTCTCCGAGGAGTCTGAATCGGTGCTGCTGTCCGTGGAACCCGAAGAAGCCGATCCCGCTGAACAACTCTTTGAACTTGAACTGTCCGACTTCTGTGACTGGGCAGACTTTGCCAATAAAGCTAATGGAGAAAAGATCGACTTAGCAAAAGTCATCTAAATACAAGAATCATACCTCCGATACATACCAGATCTACTTGGTGCGACAGCTTTCTGTTTCACATCGCTTGGTTTTGGCTTTGCTTGCTGGGTCTTCGCATATTTTATAGAACTGCTTGTAGGCTTCACTGTATTAACTTTTGCCGGGACACCACTGTCACTTTCGCTACTATTTTCAGGACTAAATATACTTTTCTTTTTTAACTTCTTCTGTACAGGTTCCGAAGTTGTTTTTGCAGATTTATCAGGCCCTTTCCCATTAGCACTTGCAGAAGCTAGTGGAAAGAAGAATGAGTTATGAAAAAGAAAGAGCATGATCTTACACACAAGTAGTGTTAAATTAGTATGTACTTACTAGAAGGTTTATTTGGTTTATTGGCAACTGGCTTAGGATTTGGGGTATTCTTCTGTTGTCCAGCTGCTGCTATAGCTTTCGTAGGTGATCTCTGTTGTTTAACAACAGGAGCTACAGTAGCAGTTGCCTTAGGTTTAGCTGGTGGTTTTCTTTTTGGCGCTGCTTTTACTTTACTTGGCAATTCCTCAGATTCCGAAGAACACGCCATAGATCTGCCTTTCGGCGGTGCTTTGTTTTTATTCTCCGCAGGTGGAACGTTGCTAGTATCCGTCTTGGATTTTCCATGTCTGTTTTGAGGGAAAGCTGTCTTCTTCTTTATCCTCTCGTTATCTGACACTTTCTGACTATTGGCCGAGCTGCTAGAGTTTTCCGAATCGGACGAACTCGACTCGCTGCCCGAGCTCGACGAACTACTGGACGAAGAATCAGAACTACTTGTCGAAGTGGATTCCGAGCTGGTAGTCTATCATTCAACAGCAACGATAAAAATATTAAGTCAAGCACACGAATAATACAAACTCTGAAGCGAGAGTACGTACCTTTCGTTTCGGAGTCATTTCTACGATGCTATCTCACGAATGAGCAACAAACAACGTTTAACAACATTTCTGCAACGACGCTTACACTCTTCCCGAACATATATACAAGAATTGTTGACGATAAAGTCGATTTTAAACAGACAAACCGTTCATTCCTCAATTATAGACACTACACAACAAACGACAAGAAAACACACTGGTGATAGGCGAAAGCTTCCCGTGGAAGCCGTCATCTTGAATTCGCGGCATTGTTCAAATTTCAAATAGCCTATCGAACGGAATGAAGTACGAAAAGATATTTGAAACTGATTAATTCGAAAAACAAATGATTCTACGAGGAAAATAATTGCGAAACAACTCTGGAAATACTGCCTTTATCTCTAGTAGAGAACAAACGCAATGTATGTGAGAAATGTCCAACAAGTAGTTAAGGATCACTGTTGTCGCGCTGCTGTGACAGTTGAGTTTCACGATTCCCTAACGCGTGGCGCTGTGGACGAGATTATCGGCCGAACGAAGCTAAAGGTGTCACCACCATTCAATTCGAGTGATTGTTTATCTTTATGCAGCAACAGTTGGTTTTTAAATGTTCTACTGATTGTTGCATCGTACTGTGATCGTTTAATAATTATAATCTTGAAACATGTACGGGAGAAAAGCTGCTAAACTTATAACAGAATTAGATTTAGGCTCTGACATACAACCGTTCAATGTAGGTTTTCTAAGTTGCATTCAGTTAAAAATGATAGTAGAACAAATTAAAAAGATCGTTTCATTCTTAGGAGCACTTAGTTAAACAAGTTTTGGCTGAAATGCATTTTCTCTACGATGCAAATATGACTGATAGGTTTGTGAATATGATCGTGCTAAACTTATTCATTTCAATGAAGAAAAAGAATTCATGATTGACAGACTTCTTTCAGCAATGCTGCTAGGAACGATAATAACATGGCTTTATTGCCTTCGGTGCAACTAAGACACATAGCACTGACGAGAAATAAAAGATGTGTCCTAACATACATTTATAACAGAATGAGGAAAATAAGGGAATTACGGTGGGAGCTAGGTAGCATCTTGCCATCAGAAATAAATTCCAATCTCTTGAATGCTGAAGTTCAATGGTTTCAGTCGTACAATAGATCTTTGGCCACGTATATGAGATCTCTGGGAGATGATCAAGGATTTAATCTAACAACGAATATCTTGCCTCCAAAAACTCTTTATGTGGAGGTAAGCACATTGTAGAGCCAAATCTGTTTCCAACGATGATCCAAATCTGTTTTTAAAGATACTGAGACGCAATGATCCTGTTGCAGGTGAAGTGTGTAGCAGACTTTGGAAAGTTGGAATTGGAAGATGGGGAAGTTATCTTGCTGAAGCAAAACACGTATCACTTATTACCTAGAGCCGTGTGCGAACCTCTCATAAGACAGGGTATACTTGAACACAATAGTACATAACATGTACTTCTCAATTTTGTAATCAACAACGTTCGCTTGAAAAATATACGAATTATATTTGTAGGATATCTAAACCGGAACCCTAATTCCCAGTACCCGAAAAAAGAACGAAGCGATTATTCATCCTGTCGTAAAATTCGATAACCCGCATGTTCACGTATGCTTTCATCAGGAATTTCCCGTCCCGAACTCAAATTCCTTGATCGTGTCAGCGCGTAGCCGTTCAAACAGTCAAAGACGCGTCCGCGTGCGCTACAGTATGTATGCCGCGTGTGAACAATTTTGTTTGCCTTTGTTATACAAGATTTACTTTGCGTTCGATATACACAATCTATAGATTAATATTGATTTATAATTTTTCTTTTTGATCGAGACGACGCAAACAGCTAACTTCGATCATTTCTACCTGACGCCGACGAGTAGCATGCTATTCGTTTATCGAACTCCGAGAACGTTCACGAGCAAAGGGTGAGTGATCATTTAAAAAAGTGATATCTACTCTTTTTCATGCGTTTCTCGTATCCATAGGTAATTTAGTTATCTTACACGTTTAGTTACGTCGGAACTACCGCGACAGAAATAAATGCAAAACGATCCAATACTTTCGCCACATTCTCGTTGCTGCTTTGAGTCATCGTACTTTCCCAGATCTTTTAGATTTAAAATATCATCGATATGCCTTACTTCGTAGAAACACTAGTAATTAGTATTGTTGTTTCCTTGAGAGGGCTGTTTGCCATGTGCCGAAGAAGCTAATAGATAATTATCTGAATCGAGTACAAGCACTCGACGTTGATCGCGATGCTTAAGAAACTAGATTCAAGGTGCAGCGGTTGATAAAAAAAGTGTGTTATGTCAATCTATCAATCGGTGAATTGGTCCTCGTAAATGATACGGAGATAATACATTTTCTGAGACTTATCAGAATCAGGTTTTCCCCAGATAACTCGGTCACGGAGAGTCTACCGTTGTTACCATGAAAAAATTTTGATCACAATATTTTTTCCTTGTTTAAAGCTATCGATAACGTTCGTTTAATCCCATTGATGAACTGTACACACCTTTCGTCAAGTTTATCGGCTCAGAGACAGATAAGAGAGTGCTCTTTTGGAACCGACCTCTTCATATAATTATGCACATTGAACTCGAGAAATCTGTTAATAGCTTTTAAATCTGATATCATAAGTCGCAAATAAAAATTACTCGCTCATCGAATCCATTCATTATTTGCGAATGGTTACGTAAAATTATATGATTCATGTGTCATCGGTCTATAGGATTAAAGCTATCGTTTTCAGAGCCTTCCTCAGTTTACGATCTTTTACAAAGGCTGACTTACCTGTAATTGGCTAAACCTACCCGTGTAACCGCCGCATTATAAGAAAGCACATGTATTTACAATGGTCTGGCACGGTCGTTCCGGCTGGCGTACATTTTACGAGCGATAACAGGTAGAAGTTCCCTTTGTTTTAAGGTCGGGTGTCAGTAACCATCTTCTGGGGAAACCCGTATTTTAAAGAGCCATGAATAGGACCGAGTTCTTAGTTGCCAGGCATTCATTTCAACGAATATATCACCATTCACGTGGCATGGTAAAAACCATCGACGTTATCCGCAAATATTGACGACGTTCCCAGATCACAACGGAAATGCCGATGGAATTTCCGGTGAGTTCGTATTCGTCGGAACAGCGATTCAAAAAGAAAGTAGAACGGTGAAATCTGCATTTCTCTGTAGAAACCTACACAGTGGCTCACGAAACGCGAAATGCAGATTTGACCGGTCGCGTACAGTTCACTGACCTTCGCTAACAAGCGTCGTTCGACGCTTCCTTCTTCTCGTCCATAAAGTTAAAACCAACGACGGATAAATCGCGAATAGATAAATAACTGCGCAAGCAGAACGGCGCATTATACGCGCGGTACGTAAAAATTTCTTACTAAGTACTCACCGTCGGATGCAAGCGGGAAACTTTAACGCTGTATCTGTGTGTCTGTTATGATCCGATGCAATTGTCCTCGTCACTGAAAAACAACGCGATAAAGAACGATTGATGATCTATCGAGCGAAATAGTCGCAACGAGCATATACGCGAAAGATAAACAAAGTGTAGAGAAAGGAATTTTCGCGTGGGATCAATTGCACGTTTCCTTCCTCGTTTCATTGTGAAATTGTTTTCAGCTTCAAGCGATCGCGGTAAGTCTTTTTGGTCTTCTCGATACGGCTTTCTTTTTTTAGAGCAGTTATCGAAAGAATGCCAAGTTATATTGAGTACACGGTGTATACGTGCAGCTGGCCCTGCTAGAGGACGATGGGTTTTCCCACCCCCTACCTTTCCCCTTTGAGAGATCGCGAGCCGAGCCGTCTCTACCGCCAGGGCCTCCACTGTGCTTCGCGGCCATCGTGGAAGTAACTCCGCGCGTCACCTAACGCTGCGAGATCAGTTCGTTTTCAGACAGCGTGCTGGTCAGTGTTTCGACGACGTTTATTACGAATTCCCACGATTAATCAAGTACACGTATTCACTGATAATCTCTCTCTCCGTCGAACGCGCAAACCCATATTTGCATAACCTATAATCATCGAACGCGCGAATATATCTACGCGAAACGATTGTCAGCCGCATGAGCCGCGAAGCAATCGTGGAACGACGTGCACTGGCCGACGATACGATCATACGATCTGCGAACACAGTCGAACAAACGAGAATGCAACGACAACGAGATAGCGAGCACACATAGAGTGACCAGCTGTTCGAGCTGACTGACGATCGAACGGGATCGTTTAAATTAAACGGATCAGCGGCGTCGATCGCGAACGAACGACAACGGAGAAACGAACGTGTTCTCGCGTTCAGGGATACAGAGGAGATCGAACGAAATTTGAACGGCCAACCGATTGCTGGCTCGAGTCATATTCTACGCAGAATCGTGTTGAGATTCTTTATTAAACGAGCGTAGTGGTTCGCACGCACAGTGCATCGCTGCGTGTCTCTCTGTGTACATGTGCGTACGCGTGTATACGAGGTTCGCGTGGTAGTTTTCCTTCGTCCGAGGCGAGAGCGGGAAAAGGCCGATCTTCGGTGCTCGAGTCATTGATTCATTACAAACATGTGGCATCCGTCGAGAACGACACCGATGGAGAGCTATGTTCCAGAGAACGAGCAAGGAAAATTCAAGGAGCAGCGTGATTCGGGTCACATTGATTCCGGATTCCTATCCAGCGGGAACCTGCAAGTGAGCTCCGAGATCTGCGAGCAGGAATCCTCAAGTGCTGTAACAACCGCACCCGTCGTACCGGAACCAATGAGGGCAGACAGCGGCGTGGATCTTGGGTTGAGCGAGAGCCTGAGCCAGCTCACGTTGAAGCAGGTCACGTTGAATCCTTTGGCGAGCGGCAAGATCCAAGCCGAACCAACCGTCGAATTGACTCCGGTCAGGTCCGAGAAACTCGAGCAACGCGATGACGACTCTGCGTTGCGACTGGACTCGGATACGGAGAAACCGTTCAACGAGGAACCTTGGCAGCTCTATTATACACAGGACGACGACGGTGACACGTAAGTGTATAATCTAGGTTCCTCTTCCTCTTCGAATTGTACGCATACACTCTCGCCTTCTCAAAACAAGCCTGACCTAATTAACTCTCACGCGGCTTTTCGTCGATTCCCTCGTTTCTTTTTCTATTGTCATCAGACGTCACGTGTACTTGGACGTCATTCCTCTGAAATTTCCGATGTGACTAACAAGACGGCTCAATGAGCAAAATAAATCGGTAGATCATTTGATAAGGCGCATAATTGGTAAGGAGCGACGCAAGCGCAATCTCAATGCAACCTGTAGCCCACGTTTTAGATCCACGTTAATGTTTTCAAGTGTACTATCGATCGATAGTACCTACGATAATAATAACGTCGCGTTCTATTCAATGGACGGTAGTTCTTGTACGGTGAAACAATGACTCGGTGATTTGCATGCGACATATGCGTACTACCGTTTTTCCTTGTATCGATTTAAAGTACACGGAATTTTGCTTGCAGCGTTACGTAGCACCGAAGAGGTCAATACCATTAAAGAAAATGATTCGATTAACCATCGGAATTCGATTGCATCAACCATTTTCAATCTTTGCAATGACTCAAGAAATCCCGGAGATCTATACTGTTCTCTCAATTAAATGATACCACGTATGACATACCTAGATAAACACCATCACCATCTGCAACCATTGCATTACTGATCACGTGGAAAATATGTCGACCGAAGCAAATATTGTCTCGCGTCATGCATCGATGCAGGCGAAATCGTACATGTTTTTTTTAATCGCGAAGCGCGTTGACCGAGTCTAACACGCGCGATATTGAAATTGCGCGAGATCCTTCCAACGGCGATACGTCATCGTGGTAGGGAGTGATAGAATCGAATTCTTCCGGTAATAAATTCTCTAACATCTTACGAAATGCCACGCGACATTTTACGTCATTTTTTTTTCTCTCCGCTCTCGCTCGTAGCTGATCGTTACATACGGCTTTACACAAACATTGCGTATACTCTACTATTGAAACGCGGTACACGTCATTACTCTGTGACGAAACGTTTGACCTTTTATGCACATGAAAAAAGGAACGAGCTGTACGAAATGAGGAAAAAATTCACGCTCCGAGGTCGATGCCGAACAACGTAAACACGTGCGCTAATCTCGATTACTCATTAGATGCTAGATCATGACGTAATGTTTTCCGTTAATATTATTAACCACTCGCATTGTAAATTATTCCCACGTACGGTACGTAGCACGTGGAGATTCTCGATTCGAGATTATTTTTTACAGCCATCAACAGTCGAAACTGTTATCCACAATCGTTTACAGGCATGTTATTAATTTTTTTCAGGCAACTGCATATAGCCATAGTGCAGGGCTTTTTGGAGGCCGCGTTCAGTTTGATACGGATGGCACCGCACTGGTGTCTCTTGAATATATTGAACGACGACGGTCAGTCCCCGCTGCACCTTGCAGTTTTGACGCGGCAGCCGCGGATCGTTAGACGGCTAATTTTGGCAGGTGCAAGCCCGTCGTTAAGGAATTTCCGTGGAAACACGGCTCTGCATTTAGCCTGCGCGACCGGCGATTTCGCCTCGGCGAAAGCACTTACGGACCCTTTGACACCTGTGGAGAGGAACTACCTTCATCACGGAAAGAAAATGCCTGCCTTGCCGCAGAATCTTGAGCAACGGAACTACGACGGTAAGCAGTTTACGGCACTATTCTTCCCATCTTTTTTTATAGCCCCGTAAATGAGATTATCCGGCCGAGGGTATTTATTGGCATTACCTGGGCAAAGAATGCCTACTCGTGTTAAACAGAGATGGTACAGCCTTAGTCAAATAGTTGTGTAACCATTTAATCTTCGACTCAATGAGACGTAACATGCCCTTATTAAAACGCTCAATAAGAGGAAACGTGTGGAGTAAGAGGTTCTACGGGGAAGGGAGCGCACGTGACGCGAATGTGGTATTGTTCGCGGAGAAGACAAACGAATCGCTTTGGAAAATCCTAACAACTTTTACCGCATTGAACAACAGTCATTGGCATCGCACGCGCGGACCGAGAACAATCCTGTAACCACGATTATATGCGCGGATTTCCCACGATTTCATTGAGAGCCACAGACAGCCCGTTATTCCAATCGTTTCCTTTGGAAATTCCATCGGTACAAAGTGCGATCCGGCATTGGTGATTGATCGTTTCACTTTCGAAAAAAATGTTCCATCGCATTTCTCGCTTCCTTTCGTTACACGATACGACATAACGTCTTCTTCTTTGCGTCACGAGTTCGTATTCGTTCGTGCGATTCGATGCGTTTCCGGTGGATGCTCACGCGATCTTAAAGCGATTTCCGTTGCGGTCGATTCAGAATACGAGTATCTCGGACGTTTCGGGGAAAAATTTATTCAGGAGATTTTCCCGCCGTCGTCCTTCTCATTCCTGGACCATCCATCCCGTACCCATTTGTCATGGGATTTCTGCGTACTCTTCAATCCATAAGCGGCTTCGCGCGGAACGCGAGACTCGAACGGCGCACGTTTACTGCTTTTCAAAGTTCCGGAATTCCCGCATAACGTCATCGTTCGTCTTTATTATAGAGTCGCCCTATGGTTTTAAACTGCTGTCGTAACGACCGATTTTGGACCATGACGAAACGAATCGAGATACACTTTTGCCGTTTTGCGAATCTAATCGCAAGCTCGCGTGCTCTGCTTGCGTCGTACGTAGATACCCATGACGTACAACGTGCTTTACGGTCTTATCGATTCGTAAATACGCGAACGAAAAGGGACGGGCGATCGGGGGAGGTGGTCAGGTTTAAATTAGAGTTTCTCGCTATTACAGAGCGAAGCTTCGGAGGTTCAAGTGTATGAGCAATGATTCGGTCCTGACGAGACGGCGCCTAGAGAATTTCACGAGCGTAGCAATTAGACAGCGGGAGGGAGAAGAAAGTCGCGGAGAGAAAAGAGTGTCGGTGTTGGAATACGAGCGACGGAATTTTGGCGCGTCGTCTATGCGTGCGTGAGTGCGTGCACGCGCGTTACATCACGCGGCGGCGCGCGATGAGACAGAGGAGCAGATGTTTTTGATATTTAAAAATACCTGCCGCGACTATTTGCGTGTCGTGATATTCTCGCTTCGGTTCGACTCGGGAAACCCCACACGGGCGTCGAAACCGGTGGACGAGCGCTCGCTTTCATCCCTCGGACCATTCTTTGACCCTTTCTCTTTCTTTCTCTCTCAACGAGAGACACTAGAAAAACCGGCTGAAAAGATGGTCACTCGTTGTCCTCGATTGTTCGCATTCTCGTTCTTGAACCTCGGAACGAGGAGAGCTTCATTTCAATTACAAATCGTTGGTATGGTGTCATTTAAGCATACGGGAAATTCCGTGATACATAAGTAATTTATTTCCTCCGCGCACCTCCGACACTGCTTGCGCCGTACGAGTTAAAACGCATCCCGATAAGAATAGACGCATAAATATTTGCTCACCGCAGGGATCGTTTAAAGCTCTCTGTTGCGAGGCGGGCCCGAGATTAGTAATTAAATTCCGCCAATGTACATGCTGCCGGTGGTAACAAGGGAGGGTTAATTTTAGCATTTACTTTGATCGGTACGAACCTAGTTTGGACCGCGGGACGCCGGCCAAACCTCCGACGACAATGATTCACCCGCGTCTTCCTAGTTCTATCTTTATCTTAAGCATGTGACTCGGTCGCATCGTTTTGAACCGTGCGCGTCTCGGGACAAGTTTTAGAAATTTAAAAAAAAACCCTGAGACACTTCGTAGACGAAATGTAGATCGTAATTGAATTTTTAACGTTTCAGGAGAAATGTGCTTGCACATTGCAGCCGCGCACGGATACGTAGAGCTGGTACGTCTTCTTCTGCGCCTCGGAGCGGATCTTGAAGCTAGAGAAGCGTTGGCGGGAAAGACGGCCCTTCACCTCGCCGTGGAACGTGGGTGTCGATCGGTGGTCGCGTTTCTCCTTAAGGAATGCAGGCCTCGCCTGGACACGCAGACCTACGCCGGGATCACCGCGTACCAGCTGGCCCTGTGCTTCGACACTCAGCTCGCGAGAGAGCTAGTGAGATTGGGCGCGACGCCGGAACCGCTTCCGGAATCGGATTCCGACAGCAGCGACGAAGACGATAGCAACTATTTACCCGCGATCGCGAGACTCAGACAGCAGAACGCTGTCGGCGTAAAAGTGTAGGAGCATCTATCGATCTAATCTCGATCTGACAGACGTATCAGTTTCTTGATCGTCGATCGATGTCTATCGCTTAATCGATTAGGGTATTTGCCGAAAAATTCGCCACACCGAACGGCATATACACGTTCCACGTGTATCATATCGTTCGGTCAATTAAAGGTATTTAACGCGTGTCGCGACGTGGGTATCCATAGACATTAGAACGAAAGAGAAAACGATGATCCGAACTCCGTCGAATACAAGTATTAATTATATTAAAACGAATATGTTTTACTTGTTTGAAACTAACTAGCAAGATCAGTGTAAAACGTATTGTAACAGCGACAAAGTATAGAAAGAATATACGAAAGAAATACGAGCAGAGACACTGAGAGCAAATAGGATTAAGGAGTCTTTTTGATGTAAATGTGCCTCTATGAGGATTTATCGTTAAATTTCGATCAACGAATGTTTCGATTGCACGCTGGCCGCAAGGGATTCATATTTACGCTCGAAGGACCGCGGGATCTCGTATTGTAAATATAAAGCTTTCTTCGTCCTGTTCAAGCTGCCTGAGAACGCATGGACGTTCGTACGCCTCGAAGTGTTTTAATCTGACATATAAAGGATCATCTGATAGTGAAACCTGATATGAAGAAATCTGATAGTAAAATAGTACGTGACGGAACAATCAGAATTTGATTGTTCGTCACAAGATGTACATACGTATATATACATATTTATATTAGATAAGTTAAAAGATCGAAATAATATGAATAGGATTATTTATCGAGAAACGTCGTTCACTTGGCTCGGGGTACTCTCGTACGTTTAATATGTGAACAATTCGCAAAATGTCCTCGTTTCTCCTTCTCCCTGTGTTGTACATAGTCATATTTGCCTAGTATCTTAAACGTGTCGTGTTTTTTACGGCACTACCGATAATAGAACAAGATAACGTTGTTACATAACGTACGTAATTATTTTTTTAGTAATAAACGATCATATGAAATGTATAAATTTGGAAATTTCTTATCAGCGTGAACCGCGGGCTTCTTGCTGTACTTCGGATTCGTAAGAAAACGCGAAGGAGGACAAAACGTGATATTGTAAGAGCCAACGTAAAAATGTAGAGCAAGGACCGGGTGTTAGTTATTTCGGGTCCGTAACGTGTAATGGTCTAGGCATTCCAAGAAGCCTACAGTCTTCTTCCTTTTTCGGTGAGTTTGGTCTGCGAGCTGCAGAGGTTCCGGGATATATTTGGACCTCGGGAAAGAGGGGGTTCTTACTAATCGTCTGATAGTCCTCGGGTGTAAGTAGTCATTTCTTTATGCTCATAGATTTATCTGCACGTCGAAGAACAAATGTTGACGATTCTTCATTAAATAGTAAAAAAAGAATGAAACTATCAGTCGTACGACGATATTATCTCGGGTAGATTAAGCGAATTTTTAATATTATTACGTCGCGGTTATCGAACTGCGTCGAGGACGAAAAACATGTCTAACGCAACAAATACCTGGAATTCCCCAATTACTCCGATTTGCAGGTGGAAATACCAAGTTCTGTGGCAATGAACATGGTACTGGGTCAGCCATATAACGAAACGCTTTAATAATCTATACTTGCAATCCATTGAACTCGTTCTTGAATCATTATAAGTTACAGATTATTGATTATTTTAAAAGCAATCTAATTTAGAAGCTATGTAGTACGTCTGTATGTGTAGATACATTTAATTACGTTTGCCTACGTTTTACGTGTACGTTATTTAGCGCAGTTTAAACGCCATATTGCAAATATAAAGTATAAGCAACGCTTGAGGAAGGAAAATAAAAAGAATTCTTTATATGAAATGCATGGTATATAATTACTTATGTAAAGCTTGCATATGAGTTTAGAAAAATCGCACATTATAAAGCGTAGCGTACCAGCAGTCGACAAAATACGAAATGATGCAACTGGCGTTGCGAAACAAAAAAATTTATAAATCGCGGCGTTCTAAATGAAGATAGATAGCGTTGCGTACATGAATTAACGATCAATCTAAGCTTGCGTTGCGGTCGCGTAGAAAGAATCGGGGCACGTTTTCGAAAGTACCAGAAAATTGTCGAACATAATCGCGGGCGAATAGACACGCGTGATCCAGAGGTAGTTTCGTGAGAAAAACGAAGAGGCGCTGGTTGTCCATTTCTGGAGCTTTCTGAAAATCTGCGCCGGCTCAAGGGTGAGCATTCACGAGTCATCGCGTATCTTTTACGAGTACAAAAGGACGAAATCTCAACTGTTCTGAGTGCAAGCGTTATGGACCAGGTAAACATTTTCGGAACGCGATCAATTTTACTTATTCCCTACGATCAAGAGCTATTGCTTAAAGCACTGTGTCCGCTCGCGATATCATCGAATATCGTCTCGTTGAGCACGCGTTCGCTTTAAAAATTGTTGTGCTCTCTTTATTCGTTACTTAACGCAATGTTTTTCTCGCATATTCTATTACCGATCGTTCTTAAAAATAACAACTCTCAATTTCTTTGAACTAAAATTCTCATCTCGTTAGCTAACCGTTCGCGTCACAAATCTAAAGATTTCGATACTCTTCCTGTACTTTGCGTAATTCTTTCGTTGTGCGATCTAAATGTACGTTTCGCGGGGTCTAGAATTTTCAATTAACAAATTATTTACAGGTAAATGAACTAAAACAGAAAGGCAACACTGCCCTGCAGGAAGGAAGATGCGAGGAGGCTATTAAACATTACACAGAAGCCATTGCTTTAGATAAATGCAATCATGTTTTGTATAGTAATAGATCCGCAGCGTATGCCAAGGCAGAAAAATATCAGCAGGCATTAGAGGATGCGGAGAAAACAGTGATCTTAAAACCTGATTGGGGAAAAGGATACTCGCGTATGGGCAGTGCACTAGCTTATCTAGGTAGAATACAAGAATCTATCAAAGCTTATGAGACTGGCCTAAAATATGAACCCAACAATGCCCAACTTAAAAGTGGCTTAGCAGAAGTCAAAGCTCAACTCTCAATGACTGCCAATCCTTTCAATAGACCCGATCTCTTTGTGAAACTAGCGAACGATCCTAGGACCAAAAGTTATCTACAGGATCCAGAATACTTGAAACTCTTAGACACTCTCAGAAATAATCCGGATGCCATGGGTCAAATGTTAACGGATAAACGAGTGATAACGACTCTCGCTGTACTGATGGACTTCAACGCAGACATAGAAATGGCGAGCGCAGAACCGGAGCCTCCTAAACCTAAACCAGAACCACCAAAACCTCCGAAGAAGGAAGAGGAGGATCTGAGTACACCTCAGAAACAAGCGCAGTGCGAGAAACAATTAGGAAACGAAGCTTACAAACAGAAAAAATTCGAATTAGCATTGGAACATTATAATAAGGCTGTAGAATTAGATCCTACAGAAATTATTTACTTGTTAAATATAGCAGCTGTGTATTTTGAACAAAAAGAGTATGATAAGTGTATTGCCCAATGCGAGAAAGCTATCGAGGTTGGGAGAGAAAATAGAGCAGACTTCAAGTTAATAGCCAAGGCATTTACTAGAATTGGACATGCGTATAAAAAGATGGAGAACTGGAAGCAGGCGAAAGTGTACTACGAGAAGTCTATGTCGGAACATAGAACGCCAGAAATTAAAACTCTTCTGTCGGACATTGATAAGATTATCAAGGAGGAAGAAAGGAAAGCATACGTCGATCCTGTGAAAGCGGAAGAGGAGAAGGAGCTTGGGAATCAGAAGTACAAGGAGGGAGATTATCCGGCAGCGATAAAACATTATTCCGAGGCTGTAAAAAGAAATCCCGACGATCCAAAGTACTACAGCAACAGAGCTGCGTGCTACACGAAATTAGCGGCGTTCGATCTCGGATTAAAGGATTGCGAGAAGTGCGTCGAGATCGATCCGAAGTTCATCAAGGGCTGGATAAGGAAAGGCAAGATTCTGCAGGGCATGCAGCAGCAAGCGAAAGCGTTGACAGCTTATCAAAAGGCATTAGAATTAGATCCCTCGAACAGCGAAGCGTTAGAAGGGTATCGTCAATGTGCAGTCTCCGTTAGTTCGAATCCCGAGGAAGTAAGAAAGAGGGCAATGGCAGATCCAGAAGTTCAAAGTATATTGCGGGACCCTGCTATGAGACTTATCTTAGAACAAATGCAAAGCGATCCTAGAGCTTTACAAGAGTAAGTACATCGATTTCACGTGGCGCGTTGATGAACTCTGTGATCTCATATTAATCTTTTTAATTTTCACGTTACAGCCATCTAAAGAACAAGGATGTAGCGGCCAAGTTGCAGAAGCTGTTGGAGTCTGGTCTCATCGCCATTCATTGAAGGAGAAATAATTCATATTTGTGCATAGCTCTGTGCATGACATTTTATTGTCGCCAAGTTCCTTTGGTATCAAGGAAACGATGCTGTTCGTTCTATTTTTGTGTATTTAGAGATATGTTATTTAACCGAGCAGGCCGCTTAATGGCATATTCGTTGTATATCTACGTTCCGAAGAGCTGTTTTCAGGCATATAAGTTTCGTTGTACACAAGAATAGTTTCGCGGGAATGCAGTGGCCTTTCGGTCATAGACCACATTTGCATTGTAAATCATGTTACAGTAGCTGTGTATGTTTTAATACGTCTATGAGGACGTTCTTAATTAAGCTTTTTGCATAAACTTTTAAATAAAGTAATATTTCCAATTGTAAATCATCAGTATCATCAACATCCAACGCGATGATGTTTCGAATTTGTTAATGCGATCTAGATTAAACGGATGAAATTAAATTTGATCGTTCCGGTGCGTCTATCTAAATTTTACAATTTTGCTTTTAAGCCCTAATACTGTAATAATGAAAGAGAATAACAATAGCGATAACTACAATGCAATTACGGTAATACCTGTATGGTTAATTAAAATGCGATTCAATACATATAAGAATAAGAAACAGCGTAGAAACGTTGTCTTTTTATAATACAACTTCTCTTAAACGGAGTTGCGTTACGTTTGAATGAAATGTTGCGTTGAAAACAAGTTTACTATTATGATTCATCGTCATATAATTTGCTTCTATTCCAGTTTTTTTTCTCATGCACATACATGTCATACATATATATATATATATCGTAGTATCTCTTTGTCTGCAGAGTAACTCAATTAGAATGCCAATAGAAAATTAACAATGCAACAAGTTCAATCCAGTTCTAATAAGAGACTACTTGGTTTATACATCTTAAGGTGACAAAAATTAGAGAATCTACCTATCTGAATAGTTTTATCTATAACGTGTGTACATTTACACACACGCCGTACGCGACCATGTGTACGGGCTGATCGAAGCACCATCTATCATGTCCGTGTACATAGCTGAAGACACGCGTGTGTAAGTAACAAAGTTGCACTAAACCGAAACGTATGTATACGTGCATGACGTACGAACACATCGCACACATAACGGTTTAATTTGTTCGGATGCCGGCGACAGCGCTACGATCATCGCATTAACACTTTACACGACGGATTGTTGGCCCTGGAACGGATCCGTCGAAAAAAGGTCGTGAGGAAATCGAACGTCGGACGGTGTTGCGAAAACGAGTGAATCTTTCCGCGCGACGTGAGCGTGAGGAGGCGCGGTTCGGTGGACAGGGCGCCAGGGATCCGAGGATACGAACCTGATCCATCTTAAGCGCGGTGGGCCGCCGCGCTGGTGGGCCTAGCAGACGACATGTTGGCTGCAGGGAGCACCTCGTCTCGGATGTTTTGGCCGCGAATTTCCTCGGGGATTGTTGAGTGAGGAGAGTGAGCGAACGCGGTGAAAGCGAGGTGGACCGAGAGTAAAACCGGTCGAGGGTGTGCGCGAGAGAGGGCACACGGTTGGGTTCCCCGAATGGTGGTTGCGACGAGCCGTGGTCGTCGACGAGAAGCTTGAGGAGAGGGGTACGGACTAGTGAGCGGGGCGGGGGAGGAGGGGGAACCCGGACGAGCCCTCGAAAAATTGAGGAGTCAACGAAACGAAAATTCGCAAGAGATAAGGGAAAAACGACGTGAACGAAGAAACTCGCCGCGTTCGGATTTTCGTCGCCACCGTACCGTCGAAGCCAGAAGAAACTACGACAAGAAGATACGCCGGGGTAGGAGTGGGGAAGAAAAGCCGTGAGAGCGTAGAGAAAATCGCGATCAGCAAACAAGCTCGCTCGTGTACATCATCTTCTGCCTCGTCCACGGGAGCCGTCGATTTCCGCAAGTTTCTTCAATTTGCTCGAATAAACGAGCCACCAGCGCACCCGGAGCCGATCTATTTTAACTTCTCGTTGTTCTGCCCGTAGGGTAGGGGCTTTGCTTGGTGAGGCAAGGCGAGGTCGGAGGAGCTGTCGTACACACGCGTCCGAGTCCCTTCCTTCTGAAACGATTTCGCGTGTGTTTCGTGTTCGCGGGCCATCACAGGAGGCGCATCGGACAGTGCACGTCAACCTATTATCCCAGTCCCGGTCTTGCTCCCACTCTCGGCGATTGCTCCGAGTGCCTCGTGCGTACTCCCCCTATCACAACCTGCCGCGAGACACTCGCGGCCGGTTTCCGCCAGTGTTACGACCGGAGGATTCGGAAGCGGCTCCGGTATTCCATCCTCAGTATTTTATCGTCGCGTTTCGCAATAACAAGCGACGCTCGCCTACCTTACTCGGAGCGGATCAATTTATTTATCGGGCCAGGTGTCACGACCGATTGCTCTCCTGAAAACTCGGCATTCATACACGCGGCGGACACCACCACCTACCGTTCTCATCTGTTCTCCGTACAACTATACTTCGAAACTCGAGCTCGACGCACACCGTCGTCGTCGTCGTCGTCGACGTCTCATCAGCATCATCGACGTGTTGGACTGGCAGCGAGACCGTAGTCGATCGTCACTGTGTAGCTATGGTTTCGCGGGCAGTGCGAGATAGTGAAAGAGCAGCCGTGAAGTGAACCGAGTGCCAGTGCAACTGAGAATACGTATTGCACGCGTAATAGTTGGTGTCGTACGAAACGCGCGACAGGCAAAAGAAAAGACCCGGACCAACGGAGAGATAAAAAGAGAAGGCCGGTATAAGACCGATCGCCGTAACGATAGCAGGTGGAAACGAGAGAGGGAGAGAGCGAGAACTAGAATTGGAGCAAGGAGGAACAGCAGACGGAGCGAGAGAGAAACAGCCAGATAGAAGGACGAAGCTCGAGCGTGGAGAAGCGCGACACGGTGATAGATAAGTATCGAGTGACAGGCACGGCCGGAACGAAGGAACGAACCAAGTGTTTTGCACGTGAGGAGGGAGCGAATCACCAGGTACCGCCGGTGATCGAAAGGGTTGCGATATCTGTCGAACGTCACATTCGCGGGAGATAAACAAACACGCGGCCGTCGCCGGTGGTGCTCGAGAGGCCCAGTGTGTTCTCTCTCTGGTCGTTTCGCGTGAGCTGGCACGGTGGTAAAGATCGGTATTTCCTCTGACAACGGGAACAACAAAGAACAACAGAAGTGGAAGGGAAAAGCGAAGAGGGTGAGCCGCGCGTGTCTCTCTCGTGGTGTGTCATGGGGTGTTTTGGTAGCCAAAGCAGCAAGGCCAGCCAGGATGACATCAAGAACCAGAAGAGGCGCTCGGATGCCATCAACAGGCAGTTGCAAAAAGAGAAGCATCTCTACCGGGCTACCCACAGGCTCCTTTTGCTCGGTAAGCACACCGAAACTTTCCCTTTTTATTCCTCTCGCCGCCATTGATAATCCGCCTCGTGCGTTGCGACACGCATCTCTCGCAGAACCATTAATTACGTTGCGCTATCAAATTTCGATCGTCATTCATTCGAAACGTTTACTTGGTAAAGAATAGAAGGCGCGTTTCGGTGTACTTGATTTATCGTTAACGTGTAACGCACAAATTCAATTTTCGTATAAAAGGTTCGTCAGTGGAACGCGGGTACATGTGCGCCGCGCTACGGTATGTGTAACTGATTCCTGTTTTTAATAATTTGCATGGTAATAAAAGTGATTGATGATAGCTTTATTGTTTGCATTCTAGTAAAGAGCAGATCGGACAACACAATAATGCAACTGTGTACATCAATAGCTCTTTGATGGAAAATTTGTCGATACCACATTGTCGTAGCTCGCTGATTTTACTGCAAACAAGTGCAGCGCGCGGTTCGTAATTATTTGAAATAACATAACGTGCTCGTAGAACGACGAGGACAAAAGCTTCGTTTAATAAAATCAATAAATAACTAGTTATTTCGGATGGCAGTTCTTATCGATTCGTCCTGTATCGCACACGTGCCCAGAAACGGAGAAAATTTCCGCTAGGATACCAGTTGAATCGGCTTCGATCACCAATAATTTTGGACAAAAAGCGTCCGGTCAGAGGATAGGCCGAACATTATCGCGATGTTCACCGGTGCGTAATTCAATTTTATCGATTATCGTATGAGCCGGCACCCACGAATATCCAGCGGACTAGCCTGGCTGGTTCGTGTTTCTACCCTTTTCGCGTCGCCCTCTTCGTCTCTTTCTTCTCCTTCCACCGCGGTCGTAGTCTTTTTCACACAGCCGGCAAACGTGGGTGCGCGCGTGCGCCCCCCTAACACACACGCGCACCCACACCGTCTACTTATTACGATACTTAACCCAACACCTAGCCGTTACCTTCCTCTTCGTCGTTTATGTAGGTCGTCGTTCTAATTCGACGCGTGGACGTGTGTCGCGTATAAGCCGACGACGACGCCTGCGACTGTATGCTACGAAGCAACAGCTGTTACTGTATTGTTTTCCCTATCGCGTGCAATTACTATCCCCCGATTCTGCTTTCCGAAAAAACAAGCTGGCACGCGCTGCATTTCGCGCGATGGAAAAAATCGATTATTCCCGAAATGCACGCGAACCACCTTCGGCGGCTCGATATTTGAACGAGGTAAACAGGTAAAAACTATGTTCTATGATTCCAGGAGCGGGAGAATCCGGGAAGAGCACCATCGTCAAACAGATGAGGATACTGCACGTGAATGGTTTCAGTGAAGCGTAAGTCTCGTTGTTGAAACAGCGCTTCTTCTTTTTTTTTTGAGCTAATCCTCTGCTGGTTATTATCCGGTTCACGCGACGCGGTAACGTGCGCCCACATGTAACGCTTCTTTTTTTTTCCTCCATTAATACACACTCGTGAATGGATCCAGTTCGGAACCAATTCGGTTGATCGCGTGATTGCAAATATCAACACGTGGTTCCAGCATACGTTTGCCTTCCTCAGTTATTTTTCCTCGCACACGGTCAGTTTCCCATCGTCGCGATCCGTTCGTGGACTCGTACGTTCACTTTCGGTCTTCTTTCATTCCGTTTCGGCACCCGGCAGCTGTCCGGTGACGGAGCCGCGAAATGCCCAGACAGAAATAACGAGTCGTTATCGTAAAGAAGAACGAGTCGGTACGCCTATAAGTGGAAAATCAGGGGCAACAACTAGGTGGGACGAGAAACGACGTGCAAACAGACGGCTCGGCCCGATTCTACGTGTGTCGTAAATTCTGTCTGCCTCCAGAGAGCTGATAACGGGCCCGGAGCACGGCGTATTATTACGTTTTGCGGTGATTTCTTTTCGTCCTTCTTCCTCTCGTTTCTCGGTTCGATTTAAAAAAACAAGAAGAAAAAAAAACAATCGACCGAACACGACTCTCTCTTTTTACCAGCGACGCAATTCTAGAAGATGTTATGTGTTAGATACTCTTGATGCAAATTCCGCTTGTTTACTATGGAAATATAGCGTAGAACCACGCACGGTATTCTCAATTTTTTTTTTTGCTGTTTTTTTTCCTTTCCCGCGGCGATCTCGCATGTTGCTCACGTACGAATCGCGCGACGCCCTTTTGTCGGATCCGACGAGAACCGTGGAAACAAGGGGTAGGAATCGCGTCTCTCCGCTTTCACTCGGTACGAGCTGCCGACGGTCCCAGATACTTTTCATCGGACACAATTAACTCGATAGAATCGCGTAAATGTATTTACGTTCGCCGCAGTAAGTTTCGGTTCCAGGCAAGACGGGGCTTTTAATGTACGATCAGGCTAAACGATAAAATAGTTGGAGTAGGTAGGCGGCCGTTCGATTATTTTTAGCTTTCTTGTATTCGAATATCGCGTGTAACAGGCCGCGAGCCTTTTAATCCGCGGTCGCACAATTCGCAGCGTCGGAAATCGAGCAATAATCTACAATTGCGACCCACAACCGACCGCGTACGGTGGAAAATCATTGGCTCGCGTCGCTAATTTGTCCAGTGCATTCCGTCGATCTCGTTGCAGCTACACGTCGCGACAATACATGTTGATACCGTGGTTCGGCGTTTGGTTTCCGACCGGTGAAACGACCGTGTCGTCTGGAATAAAACCTGCACGGAATAACAACACGATAAAAATGGGAACCTGTATTAGATCGCGACTGTCGTCATTCCGTGTAATGTAAGTTCCGTGTAATACGCGAGGATGTTGAACGGTCGCTGCTTGGGCCCCGAGTGACGACAGGAGCCTGGCACAGGTATTACCATGAGAAAGATCCCGAAAAATCGGGTTCAGATTCGCGGAACGTCCTATGACGAAGCATGACAATGAACGCTATTTTATTGTCGATGACGGAAACAGAAAGAAGTATAGAAAAGCGATTTTTCATGAACGATCGTTGGTCGTCGGTTCGGCGACAGGCTTAGATTCACGTAGGGACTCTCTAGGAATGGACTGGAAAATTCACCGCTATATTGATCAAAACCAGAAAGGAACGAATAAAGCGTTTCAATTAAAATCTGTTTTTCCAACATATTAAATGTGAGGTACTCTCGAAAATATCCATAAAATAATGAAATAACATTTAATACCTATCAAATTAAAAATGATTGAATTTCAATATTAATTACTAAAATACGTAATAAATGATAACACTTAATAATTTGCTTAATAATTAAATAATAATTGAAGAATGAGTACCTACGTCAATGCAAATTATATTTTTATTCCAGACTTTTTAAAATGATGTTACATTCTTAATAGTCATATAATACTTACTGTTATAAAGATAAAAAACATTAATTACGTAAATGCTCCGAAATTTGGTAAGAAAACCGTCTAATGCACTATATTTCTTCTGCAACTTCCGGTTTATATGTCTTCTGCGTCAGTGAATAGGAAACGCGGACGCATTTTCCAGTCCGTTCCTAGAGGGTCCCTAGATTCGCGGAAGCTCCAGTGTCTCCAAACCGGCGATAGATCGTTACACTAAAACTGGCGTGATGCCGTGCGATCTAAAATTACCGAATGACTCGGGAACAGCTAATAATGAAAATACGCGTCTATATCTGTGTCGTTGGTCCGAGCGAATCTCGAAGTCGCCGCCGATACCTCGATGAACATCGTATCGAGTCATTGGTTTGTTTTTTTCGCACAGCGTTCGCTGATTTGATAGACCCGGTGCCACCGGAGGTCGGAGACGAGAAAGATGAAGTACACCGTTTGTTTCTCACGATTTTCTGTGCAGGGAAAAGCGGCAAAAGATCGAGGACATCAAGAAGAATATCAGAGACGCGATACTGGTAAGAATACCACGCTTGGAACGTATTTAAAACGGTTTATAAACGTGGATGCAGCTTCGCTTTTTCGAGAACGATTCGTTGTATCGGGTAATAGGCAGCACTTCATCAGGCATCCTTCGTCGAAAACATCCTTTCCGAGTAATATTTGCGAAACGCATCGAGATATTCCGGGAGCCCAGTGATTTATCGCTAAATCGATACGCGCGTTCTGTACACGTGCCGCGTTATGCGAGGTAACTCGTAATTGAGGACCAATCATTTTACCTATGTTACAAATTCAATTAGTTTGTTTATTCAATTAGTTTGTTTATTCAATTATTTTGTTTTTCTCCAACAGTTAATATGAAATAAATAAATTCTTTGAACGGTTTTTATATTTCGTATGATATATAATTGAGTGTTTGGAAAATTATCAAATAAATATCTCGATTATTACTCGAAATCGAATGCGAGGCGCGTGCAAACGCGTCCGTCTTTACGGGTGCCTCCCGTCATTAACGTTACGTGATACGCCCGTAAATTCGTGACGGTTTAACACCGTGCAGAGAGCAGAGTCTCGCTGTCATCAATTTGTCTTTCGAGGCCGTGTTTGGACACGCGTATCGTCTCTCCAACCTTGCAATCGCTTCCGTATGTCGGTCGCGTGTAATAGACAAGCTACCCCGCGCGGCATTTAAGGATTATGAATGACACATTGTCTGGAGAGCTAATAGACAGAGAAATGGAAATTTCGTTCATTCTCCTCTCGCACGCGTAACGCGACGCCCGCAAATGGTTAATTGTCCGCCGCAGAAAAATGTATTCAGTATTCTCGTCTGTCGTCGGATTGTTACGAAAGTGGTTTTGCCTTACGACCGCAGACGGTCGTTCTCGATAAAGCCACGATGAAAATACCTTCCACGTGTACACGTTCGAAGAATGAACTTTCCTTTTCCGTTCGCCAATTGTGAACGTCGTTAAGGATAATCGTCGGAGAATCGTGTACACACGAACCCGGTGCACGTGGATTCTTTCATCGGGTGCGTTCCTTTTCAGACGATAACCAGCGCGATGAGCACGCTAACGCCACCCGTTGCTTTGGAGGATCCGGCGAATCAGAGCAAAGTCGACTATATCCTGGAAGTTTCGTCCTCCCCGGACTTCGATTATCCCCCGGTGAGTCACAGTCGATCTAGGCTTGTTCTCCGATACTTACAGAGGAGCCGAGGAGATAACGCGATGAAAAATGTCGACGAGATCCCGACCGTCGAGCGTTACATAAATAATTTATCGTCGCATTTCCATGGGCGACGATCGCGGACGCTGCCAGCACGATTACGGTCATAACGCGAACCGGCTGCCGCGGATCGCCGTTCCTTTTTCGAAATTTCAACCGGACGGAAAGTCTGCTCGCCAGTGAGAGCCACTGCGCGACATGATCGGTGTTTACAATGTTTACACAACCATCATACTCGGTTCTATGATGTGCTGCGCCATTCCCCTCTAATAGTATCGCGTTCCGTTTAATTGTACCGTCGCGGGAAGAAGCTCGTTCGCGTATTTCTCGAATCAATCGAGTCGGTCCCGCGGGCAACAGCGTCAAAATCGATGATCCTCGTTAGGATTCAATTTCCAAGCGACTCACACTTGGCAATTATTATGACGAGCCACGTTCATAGGAAGCACATTAGGCGCGTTTTATGATACACGTATCAACTGGTCTCGCGGTGACGCTCGGTAGGAAGCTTGTGAACTGAATCTGATTACCATGATAATTTCTATTTACGTTTTGCGACGGCAGAAGGTCTGCTGCTTAAGAACGTCGTAGCGGGTATCGCCAAGTTTCATGAACGGCCGCGTTTATCATGAATCCTACAGCGAAACTAGTTAGGGGCGAACAGGGGAGGGTGGTGCCATTAAAATATTACGACACCGGCGAGCGCGGTACACGTTATTTAACCCGTTTAGTCATTTTGTATTCAGGCCAGCGATTCGGCCGCGCCTCTTTACGAACGTGCGCTGAAGTCGCGAGCGCGATTTTATCCCTTGAAGATCGTTCGTCCCTGCTTCCACGAATTTACCGAACTGTTGCGTAACCCGAATCGATGACGCTTGGAACGATTGTGTGGTATCGATTAAAAATTACGTCGATCCACAACTACCGCGATACGTCGCGTCGTAAAGTGGTTTATTATTTGCACGATGATCGTCGCGTCGAATCGGACTCGAAGCTGATCGAACGTTTGAAATGCAACTCGCGGGGGCGAAGAGGATCCGTGATGTTCGAGGAGGCATTGACATTTTCCTTGGCCAGCTGACTGGACGGCTATTACAGGAACCTTCTGTCACGTTGCGGAGAATAATGACTCCTCGCGTGCCAAGAAGATCGGGGAGCCGAGGTTTCGTGAGCTCCAAAATCCGCAAACGCTCGGAACCGGTGGAGCGCGGCGCGTCTCGAAATAAAGTCGTCGCGACAAAATAATCCGCGTGTTTTGCGTCATTCACTGGCAGTGTACGTACCTACGCAGGTTCTACGTAGACGCTTTTACGATGATCGGACACCGATCGTCGTACACGTGATCCCGGCACGATGCGCTCAAATGTTCCATTGAAATTCGAACAACAGTTCTTCATGCGACGAACCCCGGGACACGGGATTGTTCGTCGTTTCTTTCTTCGTTTCGTTTATTTTTTTAGGAACGATTCGATCGGATCTCTGTCGAAGATGTTTCATCGATGTACTTTGGACCGAATGAAAGACACCTACGTGAAGATAGTCCGGACGCGTAGTGTGAAAGGGTTTAAATTTGAATTTCCACCGCGGAGGAAAAGACGCGTAGCAAGCGGAAGTGGCCGGAGCGTTACCTTTTTATTTTGTTTCGCATTCGACGGGCCGCGTCCTATTTGTCACTGTCGCTCCTCATTTTGCATATCTGACCGCGGCTCGCCGGGAATACGGAAGTTTATTCCGAGTCGAGTTCTACACCGAATTCGACCACCGCTCGTTGCGTAATCCTCGCTTCATGAAATTTCAAATTACGCTTAAATACGTATTTAACGGCGCAGCCTCGAATTTGTATTCGCCTAACGACGGTTCTTCGAGTTGAACGTCGAGATTTCTTTACGGCGATCGTCACGGCTGGAACATGTCCATCTACATATTTATTCCTCGACTTAGAAATTGCCGAGAAAATCGGGGATATACTCTGGGGTTCGCGTAACGACTTCAAAGTTGAGAAAGTTGGCTCGGGTCGCTTTGAAATCGGAAGGCGAAGCTTCGAGGCCGATCTCTCGGATGACAAAAATCCAACAGTGGAGAAGTTCCGTAACGGGTTTCGGGAACGCTTTGACGCAACAAGCGCGCACTCAGTCAATTTTCCCGGATAGTTAACGCTGCCCCGTGCGAGAAGATTCCGCTTTCAGCAACCGTCCTGTACATTTTATTCGAATATTTATCTTGGCTTGATATCCGGTCGATATCTATTTTTATTAACGGTCGGATAATGCGCGCGGGTAAAACAAGGGACGGAATTAAAAATGGAAATATTTTCGTCGATAACGGGACGCCGCTACCAGCCAGCCTCGAGCGTAAATTACGCGCGAAAAATGTGTCTTTCACGTTTTTGCGAATCGTGACGCGGGCGACGTTTCTTACAACGGTTCCAGCCAAATTTTCCGTTTCATCAGAGCCGCGCGTTTCTCAGACAATTAATGAGACGAGTCGATGGAAGCGCCAAATCGTGATCACTTATTTTCGATCGTCGTTATCCATCGATCTCACCTTGGCCGTTCCTTTTAATGACAAACCGTGGGCGATCTTCTGCTTCCAGGAGTTCTACGAAATCGTCGAGGCCCTGTGGAAGGATCGGGGCGTTTTGCAGAGTTACGAGAGGAGTAACGAGTACCAACTAATTGACTGCGCCAAATAGTGAGTATTCTTCATTTTTCGGAACGAATCGATCTACGATCTCTGCGGCAATATTGACAGACGATGAGGCGGCTACGTAGCGAAAATAAAAGGGTGGCAAGTATCGTAGTTCGGATTCGTTGCGATGGCTCGAGGCGCGAGCTGTTCTAAATCCGCCCCGGGCCGATATCGCGATTACGATAAGAAGCACGTACGATAACGTTTATGCGACGATAATGGGACCGCGAAGTGCACCGGATTTGCCCGCGGATTCCACCCTTTCAACCGTTCCCCGCGTGCCAGGAAACGTAACGCCGGTGACTCGTCGCTGAAACGCACTGACGTTCGCGCGTCCATTCAATTTCGACGATTAAGAAATGCTTGTTTTACGAGGTTCAATATTTCGGAAACGTTCTCTTGACCGCGATACACACGATGCACGCGTGTATATTCGTGACACCGATTTAATGCCAATGGAGACAATGCCTTAACGAGGTAATCGCTTTAATAGGGGACACTCGTTTATCTAGGGGTTCTCGATGAATTGGCCCAGCCTCGAACTTTTTTCACGCTGTTCACTGACACGCGAGCTTTTCCACGTGTGTGGGTGCCTGGTCGAAAGTTGCTCTAGAATGCACCAGTTCCTCGGCTTCAGTTCCCATCTCACCCTCTGATCAATACTTTTAACGTTGCCTCCCGAAAGGTGCGTTGGTCTCTCTGTTCCAAGAGTCGCAAACACGATTCTTCGAAGATCGACGTCGTTGCTCGCGTATGCGCGAACTACCTCGCCAATCGACGTATCGCAACAGATTAATCGAAACGTCAGACGAACAGGAAAGTGGTAGCGCGTTCGTGTATTATTTTCGTCGGTCCCCTTTCCAACGTTACGACGACGTAACTCGAAGAGAACATCCGGCGACCCGACAAATTTATATAAATGAGCGAAAAACTCGTCCGCTACGGAGCATCCCGGTCTAGCGCGCCGCGCGGGTCACTTTAAACCGTATCCCTTTGAAAATTACATAGGCGAGGCACAGGTTGTTGCACTGGATCGTGGGCATACGGGCGTGAATCCCGAGTGTAAACGCGAAACTTATCCGTCGAGCCAACAAACCGGAAACGTGTGACTTCGTTTGTCGTCTATCAATTCGTCAAACACTTTAATTAGGTTTATATTTGGCTACGACCGCGGCGGCGGCGGCGGCGGCGGCGTGGCTCCGCGGTCTGTGCAATTGCCGTGGCGTCGTCGCTGCGTCGATCGCGGCATCAACCGTGCGGCCGTTCGTTGCGTTACACGCGAAACGTTTCAGTTATTATGTAATTTGATACGAGAGGTCGGTATTTTATTTCGCTGGAAATATTAAATGGCCGACTACTATTCTATTTTGCTGTACGATCACAGCGCGCTGCCAAAACACGTTTCACGGCGAAATGGCATCAAGATCACGGCGATAGTTTTCGTTTCGGTTAAAAATACGCTAGACCCGGGTAGTACGGTGCACCTCCGACGGTTCGCGTGAATTTTTCAGTTTCTTCTTTTTTCTTCTCGGTCGCCGCTCCTCTCGTCGTGCACCGTGAAACTTCTCGACAAAAATAGTACAACGTATTTTTAGGAAACACCGGCCCGAGATATAACCGGGTGGTCGGCGGCGGTGGTGGCGTACGCGCGCGGACCATCCGGAGACGACGCTAGATCGTTGTAATTTCGCACGGCTGTTTGCTAAACGCGCTCGCTGGTACGCGAGCCGTGAAAGTGATTTCAGCAGCGACGTATGCGAGCGGCCAACCGATTTTTGTAACGAACAAAGAGAGAAGTTAATAATATCTCGCGTCGGAGATAAAAGGAATATGGGCCAGCGGGAAGCCTCCTAAAATATCCTCGAATTCGAGTCGGTGCGCGACGAATAAATATTTGTTCGGTGAGAATAAGAGATCGCTAACGCAACAACGGGCTCGTTATCGATTGTTGCCACAGCCATTGTCATTTCCTGGTTGAACAATCGTTGCGCTGCGCGCAATAAAATTCGTGAGTGATCCGCGTTATCATCGCTGCACCGGGGCGTCTCTATTAAATTTGCGAAATGTCGAGTGGTGCTCGTATCTCGTATCATCGAGTGTTTCTGTTTCGAATCGGGATGCAGGCGAAAATAAAAATAAAGAGAGAGAGAGAGAGAGAGAGAGAGAGAGAGAGGAAAATGGGGGAGGGAAAACGAGCGGCTGTACACGGG